CATAAAGCTGCTATCCAGCTGGCTGCAAAGACCAACAGGGCCTTTCACATCCTGCTCTCACCTGGATCCAGTCCTGAATCCTGCTGTTAAGGAAGCTTCCCTGTCTGACCATCCAGGAGCCACTCTGGCAGTCACATTTGCATCACCTAAGCTGGGACTGAAGCCCCTTCACAGCTACACCCCTCACACTTCCATTCAGACCAGGATTCCTTACCAACTCAACCCCAGGTTTCCCATAGCAGAGTCTCAAACATCCAAGTCCTTCAGATAGCTTAATTGTGGTGCAGTAACTAAATAACAACAGCTCCAGCTGGTGGCTCTGAGAAGGGGCCCTGAACAAAGGAACCCCTGGGCATTCAGACCCTAGCAGCACCAAAGTCTGGGGGTCTCAGCTACTGCTGTGTCTCAGTGTCCAGTCCCCAGGCTGATGCCACAGGTCCCTGTGCCCCTTCCTGTGCCAAGGGTTGGCAGTTCATGGCCTCTTGCCTCAGGGTGCTATCCAGAGCTCAGCCTGCAGCTCTCATGCAGCTGCAACTTCCTCAATAGCCTGCCTCCCTAACAGGTAACCTCGTGCCAGCCACAGTGGGACACAAAGGAAAGGGGAAAGGCAGCAGAAAGGGGAGAAGACAGCAGCCAGAGACTGTGTGAGTGAAATAATGTATTTCCTTTTTCCAGTCTAAAGATGTGCTGAAGCCCTGCTAGTTCTGCCAGCAAATTGGGTTGCTTGCTGGGTAGAATCCTGGGGCCAGCAGCCATCCTCTTTTGGGGATGCCAGGGCCCCCTGTGAGAGTGTTCCTAGCCCTGACAAGGAACAGTGGGACAGTGGCTAATGCCCTTGGTGCCTAGACATTTTTGCTTTCTATATGTTTTTAATGTATTTGTAGATTTTTAGACTGCTAATATATAGTTGTACTTTTCCTACCCTTCCCCCTGCCTTTCAGAACAGTGAGCTAACTTCCTAACACATTCCTGAAACACTGTTTAGCCTTGTTTTTTAGGCTAGAAAGGATACTGTGTTTTCTACTAGCACTTGGAAGACATAACAAGGAAGCCCCTGGAACAACTCCAGTGGGGCAGAACCCAGGGGGAAATTATCTAAACAACTGCTTTTCTAATTGGACAATATTTGTTAGATATGCTAATTTGTTAAACTTACAAAAATTGTAGAAATCTGGTGCCAGGTGTGCCCATAACCGTGGGGGCGCCTGGAAGCTTCCAATGAAGATTTGGGATTTTTTGACTATTTTAAGACTGTTGCAAGACATTTCTTTTTTTACATTAGGCAATACCCTGGGTAGAGAAACTCATCACCACCACCTCCCCCTGCTGTTTCTGGGGCTGCACCTGCTCTGTACCAATCTGCACAGATGGCTGGAGCATGCGGAGGGCACAGAGGGCAGCTTCTGATGTGCTGGGTTGGTCCTCCATGTCAGAGCCTGCAGGGCTGCTGGCAGGGCTTGGATGCCAGCTGGGAGTCCCTCCCTGGGAGCTGGTGGAGCAGGAACTGGCCTCAGGGCTGTTGTCCTCCTTCCCAGCAGCATGGGAGTGCAGCAGCCTCTGGGCCTCCTCACTGCATTGGCCCACAATGAAATTGACAGTGGCATCAACCAGCTGTTCTGTGTATTCCTCCAGGAGAGGCTGCAGCATCTGGACCATGACCTCCCCATGGTCACGGATCAAGCGGGAGCTTCAGGCAAGCCCTGCCTTAAGCTCGGATTTTTGGCAACAGCTTAATTTAGGTCACCCACACCTAAAACCACTCTGTCCTGCAAACTAAGCATGGCAGATCAGGCCCATTTATAAAATGAGCTATTTATTGACCAGATAACCAAAACAAGGCCTTAATCTGAGTTACTTACTACATGGTATAAACCAGAAAGCTCATCTGGTAGATAAAACAGTACACAATATTATTGTACCCATATTAAAGCTAGCAAAAGAAATAGTATCAATTAGGAGTCAGATGTAATTTACCACTGAAATTGTGATAGTGTACACTAAATCCTTTCACTCACCTCAGAGGAGTAACGACATATCAGCTGTCCCTGCTTTGGGGGAAAATCCCACACATTTCTAAGGAATGTGCAGAAGATTTCCTGCTTTGTGAAAATTTGGTGTAGCTTTTATAGTTTGTAAGGTGAGGTGTCTATCAGTCAGAAATTCCAATTTATCTTTTCAGATGTCACTTCCAGAGCAAGATGTTTGTTATCATCATTTACTCTCATGGTGCAAAAATAACTCACTACAAGACAGCTTGTCATGTTTGCATTTTTTCACCAACTAGCACAAAACAGGTAAGTTCTGGGACAAGGTACTCTGTTATTCCACCAGCTGAAAGCAGCAGATAAGCTTTTCTGGGACAAGATGCTCTGCTACACCCATCTGGACCACAGAGGCATAGGGCATACAGGACTGCTCTCACTGCCAGCCACCATGAGGATGCTGCAGGCTCCTGCTTAGCTGGGGAGAGTGTCCCTTGCAAAGAAGATTGAGGAACGACTGCAAGGCACTGACACCTGTTTCCATCCAAGAGGCCAAGAGCTCCTTCTGTCTGGATCCAGCCCTGCATCCAGCCTGGCTGCTGGTCTCTGGTGATTCTCCCTGGGGTGTGATGACACACTCTAGGTATTTTTGTTCCTGCAGAGAAAACCTGACAGACTCTATCAATCTTCTGCAGAGTGGGCACTCTGGTTTCTTCTCTGCCCAACGCAGGATGCAGCCCATGCAGAACTCATGGCCACAGGGTATCACATAAGCGACACCCTCTTGCTCATCATGGCAAATGGGGCAGCTCCACTCTGCCTCATGGCAGTCCCCATGCCTCTGTCTGTTCTCCATGGCAATTCAGGGAGTCCTGAGAAGCTGCTCCCCATCACTGGCACTACCAAAGAATCTCACACACTGCAACAAAATGGAGAAACCTTGGTCCCTTGCTGTGCAAAGGAGGAGATGAAGAAATGCCCAAACCCTTGGAGAAGGGTGCCCTCCCTCACTCCTCAAGTCCTAATGCCCTTCTCACTACCACTCTGAAGAGACTCGGCCCTCCAGATCTTACAGATATGCTTGACAGGCTGTGACTTTTCTGAGAGCCTGGGAAGATGGTCTCTGCCAGCTGAAAACATGTAGGTGTTTATCACCTGTCTGTGATAAAAGATATTGGGAATTAAGTGGTTCAATATCTTTGAGATTCTGGATTTTTAATTAAATCTCAGGGCTGGAGGCAGCATTTTCCCCTTTTTTTGTCTTTTTTTGTCTTTTTTTGTCTTTTTTTGTCTTTTTTTGTCTTTTTTTGTTTCAAGTTCACTCTTGAATCAGAAAATGAATCAGAAAAATCATTAATTGAATGCACTTTTTAAAGGGGGAGGTTCTCTTCGTACAAAGTAAACACCGTGGACAAAAATCCAGTATCAGGCAATGTGCACATCAGCTGGGTATGCTGGTCAAGCATCACCTGTGCAGGTGGTCTCTAGTGAAGTCTAGATGCAGGTTTTGCTCCCTGCTGACAGCTCTCAGGGGCTCTGAGAACCTGTGCACCCTTGATGACCAGAGCTGTATAAAATATTGTAGGAGATTTAAAGAGCACAATTGCCTTAAACGCCAATCACAGAATCACAGAATCATTTTGGTTGGGAAAAAACTCTGAGATCATTGAGTCCAACCTGTGACCAAACACCACCTTGTCAACCAGACCACAGCACTAAGAGCTACGTCCAGTCTTTCCTTAAACACCTCCAGGGACAGTGACTCTACCATCTCCCTGGGAAACCTATTCCGATGCCCAAAATCACCTTTTCTCTGAGGAATTTTTCCTAATGTCCAGCCTAAACCTTCCTGGTACAGCTTAAGACTTTGTTCTCTTCGGTTGCTGGTTGCTGGGAGAAGAGACCGACCCCCACGTGGCTGTACCCTCCTTTCAGGGAGTTACAGAGGTTGACCAGGTCACCCCTGAGCCTTGTCCAGTCTAAACAACCCCAGCTCCCTCAGCTGCTCCTCATAGGACCTGTGCCTCAGACCATTCACCAGCTCCTCTGGACATGTGTGAGCATCTCAACGTCCTTCCCAAACTGAGGGGCCCAGTATGACACAGCACTCAAGGTGTGGCCTCACCAGTGCTGAGTACAGGGGAAGGATGACCCTGCTCCTGCTGGCCACACTATTCCTGATCCAGGCCGGGATGCCATTGGCCTTCTTGGCCCCCTGGGCACACTGCTGGCTCATGTTCCATCACCTGTTGACCAGCACCCCCAGGTCCCTTTCCGCCTGGGCACTGTCCAGCCACTCTACCCCAGCCTGAGGTGCTGCAGGGGGTTGTTGTGACTCAAGTCTAGGACCTGGGACTTGGACTTATTCAACCTCATATTGTAGGACTTGGCCCATCTATCCAGCCTATGCAGGTCCCTCTGCAGAGCCCTCCTACCCTCTAAGAGGTCAATAATTGCACCTAATTTGGTGTCATTTCAAATTTGCTAATGGGGGACTCAATCCCCTCATCCAGACTATTATTGAAGGTATTCAGCAGGACTGGCCCCAGAACTGATCCCTGGGGGGCTCCACTAGTGATCAGCCCCCATCTGGATGCAGCACCATTCACCTCCATTCTCTGGGCCTGGCCATCCAGCCAGTTCTGAACCCAGCAAAGAGTGCTCCTGTCCAAGTTGTGGGCTGCCACCTTTTCCAGGAAAATGCTGTGGGAGATGGTGTCAGAGGCTTTGCTGAAGTCCACGTAGACAAAGGCACTTGTTTTTGTTGCAGACTTAAGGCGCCAGATGCTACTTTTTCACTGTATATATATTAATATCTGTAGGGAAGGCAGGTAAGGGAGTGTGTACAGGTAAGGGAGTGTGAAGCCAAATTCTTCCTAGATGAGGATGAAGAGTTCCCTGAGTTAAGGGCTGCTTGGGCAGTGATCAAGCCAGTAGGATTTTATTAAATTTGGATGGAGAGTATTCTCAGAGCAGAAAATACAGGTCTATTTTTTTTTCTTACAATTTAAAATTTAATTCAGTTTAATGAAATTCAAATTAATATAACTCTGAAGGAAAGGGTCACTATAGACTGAACTGCAGGTGGTCCATTCTGCAGTTCAGAACAGTTTTTCCTTTAGGTACCGCAAGATATCCTTCAGCAGATTAAAGAATTGCAGCAGCTTTTCACGTGGAAATGGACAGGGTTGCATTGGTCTCGGAGTTATTGTTGGCGGGGGGGCTGCCGTGTAGGTTGGCGCTGGTGGTGGTGGTGGCATAGTTGCTGGTGCTGGCTTCCTTCCCATTGTGCTCCAGATCCAGTTGTAGTAGTATTGAGTGGAACTGGAGACTGCAGGCCGTTTAGGTCTGGCACAGCCTACTCCCCAGCTGGTCACACCAATTTGCCAGAAGAAGCCAGCACGCTTATCTTGGCAGACAAGAGGTCCCCCACTGTCACCCTGAAGAAAAGCAGAGAGGATTAAGGTGCTTTTGGGTGCCTCTGTAAGCAGTTAGAGCTGGCTCCTTTACTCTGCCAGCTCCTGCTAGAACTGGATTCCTGGCAGAGCAAGGCTCTACTCAAGTGCTGGGACCTGCACAACCTTGACACCCTTGGGAGTAGGATGGGGGCCTGTAAAGGGGGGCTCTCTGTCTACCCTGTGCTTGGATGCTTCAGGGTTGGCATCTGGACCTCACTGAGCAAGGACCCATGGGTGGGAAAGGGAGTGGAAGCTCCAGCAATGGTGCAGAGCTGGGGCTGGGAGAGCAACTGGCCAGGCAAAGCAGGCGCTGGGCTGTGCTTGGGTGGTGTGATGAGGCTACCCACGCTGCTGGGGGACTCATAGCATGCTCCTACCTGGCAGGTGCCAACACCGCCCTGCCCAGCACACACGTTGAAGTCGTAGATGTAGCCTTGCAGCCACTCACTACTGTTGCAGAGCTGGTTATCCACGACTTGGACCTTGGCCTGCTGGAGGACATCTCTACCTGATGCTGTGAGCAGAGAAAGGAATGAGTTCCCAGCAGCTCCTTGCCCATTCTCCTGGCCTGTGCATTAAAGTCCTTCCCTAGGGCTTGGCTCTGCCTCTAGAGAGCTGTTGCAGTGCTGTGTCACTGCTGTCTGGCGTTGGCAGCAGGTCAGTCCCATCCCTCCAGAGGCATATGTCCCACAGCCCAACTCTCATTTTGGCCTCTCTGCTGTCAGGAAGCCCCAGCCATCCCTCCCTGGTGTGCCAGCCTTCCCTCTGGGCACAGGTCCTTTATGGGAACTCACCTTTTACAATTCTGTCACCCCAGCCAGCAACATAGCAATTTTTCAGCTCTGACACTTTCACGGAAGGACCAGGCAGGCAGGCGGTCTGAATGGAGGACCTGCACCGGACTGGCTGGTCCAATTCCACCATGGCAACATCGTGATGCTCAAGATTAGGAGTATATTTTTCGTGAAGGATCAGCCGCCTGGCTCATGTTCCATCACCTGTTGACCAGCACCCCCAGGTCCCTTTCCGCCTGGGCACTGTCCAGCCACTCTACCCCAGCCTGAGGTGCTGCAGGGGGTTGTTGTGACTCAAGTCTAGGACCTGGGACTTGGACTTGTTCAACCTCATATTGTAGGACTTGGCCCATCTATCCAGCCTATGCAGGTCCCTCTGCAGAGCCCTCCTACCCTCTAAGAGGTCAATAATTGCACCTAATTTGGTGTCATTTCAAATTTGCTAATGGGGGACTCAATCCCCTCATCCAGACTATTATTGAAGGTATTCAGCAGGACTGGCCCCAGAACTGATCCCTGGGGGGCTCCACTAGTGATCAGCCCCCATCTGGATGCAGCACCATTCACCTCCATTCTCTGGGCCTGGCCATCCAGCCAGTTCTGAACCCAGCAAAGAGTGCTCCTGTCCAAGTTGTGGGCTGCCACCTTTTCCAGGAAAATGCTGTGGGAGATGGTGTCAGAGGCTTTGCTGAAGTCCACGTAGACAAAGGCACTTGTTTTTGTTGCAGACTTAAGGCGCCAGATGCTACTTTTTCACTGTATATATATTAATATCTGTAGGGAAGGCAGGTAAGGGAGTGTGTACAGGTAAGGGAGTGTGAAGCCAAATTCTTCCTAGATGAGGATGAAGAGTTCCCTGAGTTAAGGGCTGCTTGGGCAGTGATCAAGCCAGTAGGATTTTATTAAATTTGGATGGAGAGTATTCTCAGAGCAGAAAATACAGGTCTATTTTTTTTTCTTACAATTTAAAATTTAATTCAGTTTAATGAAATTCAAATTAATATAACTCTGAAGGAAAGGGTCACTATAGACTGAACTGCAGGTGGTCCATTCTGCAGTTCAGAACAGTTTTTCCTTTAGGTACCGCAAGATATCCTTCAGCAGATTAAAGAATTGCAGCAGCTTTTCACGTGGAAATGGACAGGGTTGCATTGGTCTCGGAGTTATTGTTGGCGGGGGGGCTGCCGTGTAGGTTGGCGCTGGTGGTGGTGGTGGCATAGTTGCTGGTGCTGGCTTCCTTCCCATTGTGCTCCAGATCCAGTTGTAGTAGTATTGAGTGGAACTGGAGACTGCAGGCCGTTTAGGTCTGGCACAGCCTACTCCCCAGCTGGTCACACCAATTTGCCAGAAGAAGCCAGCACGCTTATCTTGGCAGACAAGAGGTCCCCCACTGTCACCCTGAAGAAAAGCAGAGAGGATTAAGGTGCTTTTGGGTGCCTCTGTAAGCAGTTAGAGCTGGCTCCTTTACTCTGCCAGCTCCTGCTAGAACTGGATTCCTGGCAGAGCAAGGCTCTACTCAAGTGCTGGGACCTGCACAACCTTGACACCCTTGGGAGTAGGATGGGGGCCTGTAAAGGGGGGCTCTCTGTCTACCCTGTGCTTGGATGCTTCAGGGTTGGCATCTGGACCTCACTGAGCAAGGACCCATGGGTGGGAAAGGGAGTGGAAGCTCCAGCAATGGTGCAGAGCTGGGGCTGGGAGAGCAACTGGCCAGGCAAAGCAGGCGCTGGGCTGTGCTTGGGTGGTGTGATGAGGCTACCCACGCTGCTGGGGGACTCATAGCATGCTCCTACCTGGCAGGTGCCAACACCGCCCTGCCCAGCACACACGTTGAAGTCGTAGATGTAGCCTTGCAGCCACTCACTACTGTTGCAGAGCTGGTTATCCACGACTTGGACCTTGGCCTGCTGGAGGACATCTCTACCTGATGCTGTGAGCAGAGAAAGGAATGAGTTCCCAGCAGCTCCTTGCCCATTCTCCTGGCCTGTGCATTAAAGTCCTTCCCTAGGGCTTGGCTCTGCCTCTAGAGAGCTGTTGCAGTGCTGTGTCACTGCTGTCTGGCGTTGGCAGCAGGTCAGTCCCATCCCTCCAGAGGCATATGTCCCACAGCCCAACTCTCATTTTGGCCTCTCTGCTGTCAGGAAGCCCCAGCCATCCCTCCCTGGTGTGCCAGCCTTCCCTCTGGGCACAGGTCCTTTATGGGAACTCACCTTTTACAATTCTGTCACCCCAGCCAGCAACATAGCAATTTTTCAGCTCTGACACTTTCACGGAAGGACCAGGCAGGCAGGCGGTCTGAATGGAGGACCTGCACCGGACTGGCTGGTCCAATTCCACCATGGCAACATCGTGATGCTCAAGATTAGGAGTATATTTTTCGTGAAGGATCAGCCGCTTAATCCGGCGCACTTCCACATCAGGGCCTGACTGGCCCAGTGAGGTGGCCCCAAGCACAATGGCCCACTCGCTGAGGGGACTGGAAGGCAAATGGAGAGAGGCGTGAGGGGGAGTAGTATCATGTGCTGTGACAGCCCAGCACTTCCCTGCCTTCTGCTTCCTGAGGCAGAGAGGAAAACAGGACTACAGAGGGCGAAAGCAGACTCAAGATAAGCTGGAGTGGCATGAGCCCACTCTTCTGCCTGAGCAGTCCTCAGCTGGGCCCTGCAGCTGGGCCTGGGCCCTGGCTTCCTGGCACTAGGCACACTGCAAGGAAATGGGATGGGAATAGCATGCATTGGTGTGGGGATATCCCTGTACCCTCATCCTCCTTACTTGGTGATGTTGATAAAGCAGTGGGCAGCTGTGAGGAGCCACTGTGAGCTGACGAGGGTGCCTCCACAGACATGCACAGATACTGGTGGGTTCCAGTAGCAACGGACGCTGGCAATTCCTGCCCAGGCCCCAGTCCCTGGCATGACATCTGTGCCGCCCACAACACGTGTTGAGCCGACGGTAGTACCCTGTGGCCGGAGCCCACAGGTCTGTCTGTAAGCAGGAAGTCATTACTGTCCTGTGAGAAGGCTTCCACAAGGCCTTGGTTGCAAAGCCAGCAGGGCCAGGGAACTGCCTGGGGCATGCATATGTTGGCTCATTTCTGCTTGAACCCCGTGGACAAGTGGTGCCCGCAGCCTGGGTGCTGGTGATAAACTGAGGCTTGTGCCCAGGGTTTTGGAAACTGGCATGGCCACAGGTAGCAAGCGGGCATCCTCAGGGAACACCCTAAGCCTTTGCCTGGGTCCCCTCAGGTCTAGCCTGGGGCTACTTACCCACAGATGCCATGTGCAGGCCCGCACAGAGCCAGTAGGATGAGGATGCTCAGCAAAATCATTGTGGTCAGAGACACAAGTCAGCTGCAAGGAGAGAGGGCTTGTCACCTCCAGTGCAGCTGCCAACGTAGTGCCCACAGAATTTGCAGTGCCACACTGCCCTTGACCCCAGAGCTGATGTCACAGAGGGACTGGTTCTATGTTCTGGGCATGGTGCTGGCCTCTGGACGCAGGGGGGAAGGGCAACGTAGAGCCACAGAGCCCCAGAAGGGTCTGGATTGGAAAGTACCTTAAGGATCGACTAGTTTCCAACCACAGCCATGCACATGGATGCTTTCCACTACACCAGGTTGCTCAGAGTCCCATCCAAGCTGGCCTCAAATGGTAACAGGAATGGGGCATCCACAGGGGCAGGCAACTTCTGCCAGTACTGTGACAATGATACAAGATTTTACTTGACATCCAAAAATCCTGCAGAATTTGCAGCAACAATTAAAAGCAACACACATTCTGATTTGTAGAAACAGTTTGTGAAATTGTTTTCATTTGCTTTGCTTGAGACAGAAAAATCAACTAAACAAATGTAACTCGAGGCCTCAAGAAAAAAAAAGTCTCAAGGCCTAAGCTATTTTGGTGTTGTTTAGAAACTAACTATGAAGAATTCTAATTAAAAGTCATTGTCCTTCAAGAAGCCAGAGTTGAGCCTGTTTATTTAGTTGTTTCCATTGGACTGCTGAACACCTTACCCCTATTTCGAGAGGTACAGCAGAGGCTGTGTATTGGACTGCCATTTCAGTTACTGCCATCAAGTTCCTCCCTTCAATTACCAAATTCCAGTTTTCTCAGCTTTCCTTTGATGAAGTTCAGGGAGGACCAATGAGATGGAAGGTTCCTGCCCAGATATCCAGAGTCCAGTTTCAAGTTCCCTGGTGTGCTGTACAGCACACACACAGAAGGATCAGATGTCAGCAGCCTAAGACACTGCATGTCCAGCTGCTGTCCCCAAGACCTGGAAGCCCCGAGGACCTACATTCCCTTATTACACTGCACTTGCCATCCTCTCTATGTGGGAAGCTCTGGCCCTTTGGAGGGACCCTTTTCCTTTGGGCCTGACCTGCCTGCTCACAGCTGCATTTTGCAAATCCCAGCTCAGGCAGGTCTTGGCTCCCACAGGAGAATGAATGGGACTGCACACATGGCTATCTGTGAAAATCCGCCATATTTCTACAGCAACTAAGTCACCATCAGTCATTGAGCAAATGTGGAGAAGGAGTGTGGGCAGGACAGAGTGGGCCTTTGGCACTAAGGCTACCTTTGAATCAGCAGGCACTGCCCCAGAAGGAGAGAGTTGCAGTCCACTGCAGCCTGAACTGCAGCAAATCAAACCCTCCCTAGCATGCCTTAGGCTCCAAGCTGACCACCTTCGGGCTGCAGTTTGACTTGAGTGTGAGATGAGGCTGGGTTTTTGTTTCTTTGAACTCAGTAAATCTGGTAATCCCCTTCCCCTGCCCTGGTTACGGGGAAAAAAAGAAATAAAAATATTTACTTCAGTTTGTTGCTGTAGTTCTTTGGCTTTTAAGGCAGAAATACTCTTCATGCTGTGCCAGCAGTGGTATTTCAGGTGAAGTGGGCATGAGCTCTAGGCCTTTGGCTTTTGCAAAAAGAAAAGGAGAAAAAGAGGAAAAAGTAGAGGAAAAGAAGAAAAAGGAGAGAGAAAAAAGAGAAAAAAGAGAAGGAAAAAAAAGGAGAAAAAAAGACAAAAAAATACAAAAGGAGAATAAAAAAGAGGATAAAGGTTTTCCCTGGAGAGTGTGTTTGCACCAAGGGAAGCCTGAACCTCATGTGGCACAATTTCACAGGTTTCACCTATGCAGGTTTTTAAGGGTCTTTGTTGTTGATGGCCACATCCCATGGCCACGTGTGATCTAAGGAGGCCGGAACGTGTCACCTTTGCACACTGAAAGTTGCTGTGGTCAGCACTGCAGGTTTTTGATTTGTTTTGATAGTTCCCCCAGTTTGGAAATTCTCCCCCCCCCCCCCCCCTCCTTTTTTCCACCCCCGTAGGAAGAGGACACAAAATTTCTTTTTGGTCTGAAACTCTCAGCCTCTCCCTCTGTAAAAAATACTTTCAGATTCCCACTGCATACAATATAGGTGATAGTATAGGGTGTTTCATATGGGTAGGGGAAAAACTACATGCCTGAGTTTTCAGAACTGTGCCTGGAGGAGAAGCCATGCCGAGGTGTGACAGTTATGGACTTGCATGGACGCGGGAGTGGATGATGCCTGGGAGGGCACAAGAGAGCTGTACACACCCAGCCCCAGCCTGCACCTTCCCACTGCTATACAGATGAAGAGGCAGCAACTAACCAGGAAATTATGAGAAATGCTGTCAATACTCAGTATGAGAAGTCGGAATGGGGAGTCTGCTGACATCCTGGCAGAAGTGCCACCACTGTTGTGGGTTTGTCCACTGCATGAAGTCCCTATGCCTGCTGCACATTGTTAACAGCACGTGCAGCAAGATGTGCTGTGATACTACATGAATAAACGCAGTTTATTTCCACAGGCTTTAAAAAATATTACAGCTTTTAAACCAAGGGGGAAAGCCTCCCCAGAAGCTCTGGTGTGAGCCTTCACCATAGGGCTGGATAATTCATAGCTGGACTTCTCACAGAGGCTGCTCCTAACTTGGAGAGGTCAGAAGAATGATGTGATGGCTGCAGACATTTTGTGATTTATGTGATTTTTCATTTTGTGATTTTTGTGGTCTGTGATTTTCATTTTTTGTTCTTGAGTTCATTATCATGGGGCTGATTTGATCTTGTCACCATCTGCTATGGAGATTTAAACAAAACCTGAGGTGTTTGTTGGTTTTTTTTTGAATGAATCATGAACAAATATGAGTTGTTCAGCCAAAGCTGAAATTTGAAAAGAGATTTTGTAATTTCAGAAACACTTGCTGCCAGCACTTGTTCAAAAGCTGAAGCAAAATGGACTTTGAAAATGGACAGGACTGCACCATTAAGGGATACAGTGAAAATTAAGTAATGAAACATAGATGTTTCTCCTCCATGGCTCTGGGCAAGCGTGCACAGACCTAGGGGTACGGGCCTAGTCCAATAATAATGGCTGAACTGGTGCGCATCTGATGCCCATTTTGAATGTGAGCATGATAGCCACAGTAACAGGATGGACCTTTGTCTTCTATCCCCAGACACTCCATTCCAGTGGGTACAGTTCATCCTCAGGACCAAGTAGGATAAGCAGCACATCCCTCAGGACTTGTTCTCTGAGCTGGATGAAAATTGTAGGAAAGAGGCTGAAGATGCTGAGTGGAAAGAAATGGCAAGTTAAATACCTGCTGCTGCTGTGATGGGGGAGAAGTGCCCACACCAGCAGTACCCTCAGGCTCTACCTTCTGCTCTCTGGAATACTTTCTGCAGCTGCAGGTGCTGATGTGAGCAGCCTTCTCCTCCTGCCACCACAGAAGTTTGGCAATGGACTTGGAGATCTGGAGCTGAGGAGAGGTAAAAGACAGTATCAAGTGCAGGATCAAGCCCTGCGTGGCCACTCTGTCCTTACACAGCCTCTGAGCTGAGGAGATGCACCACCTATGAAAGGATGCTGCTGGACAATTGTGCCAATAATGGGGAGTCTGCTGACATCCTGGCAGAAGTGCCACCACTGTTGTGGGTTTGTCCACTGCATGAAGTCCCTATGCCTGCTGCACATTGTTAACAGCACGTGCAGCAAGATGTGCTGTGATACTACATGAATAAACGCAGTTTATTTCCACAGGCTTTAAAAAATATTACAGCTTTTAAACCAAGGGGGAAAGCCTCCCCAGAAGCTCTGGTGTGAGCCTTCACCATAGGGCTGGATAATTCATAGCTGGACTTCTCACAGAGGCTGCTCCTAACTTGGAGAGGTCAGAAGAATGATGTGATGGCTGCAGACATTTTGTGATTTATGTGATTTTTCATTTTGTGATTTTTGTGGTCTGTGATTTTCATTTTTTGTTCTTGAGTTCATTATCATGGGGCTGATTTGATCTTGTCACCATCTGCTATGGAGATTTAAACAAAACCTGAGGTGTTTGTTTTTTTTTTAAATGAATCATGAACAAATATGAGTTGTTCAGCCAAAGCTGAAATTTGAAAAGAGATTTTGTAATTTCAGGAACACTTGCTGCCAGCACTTGTTCAAAAGCTGAAGCAAAATGGACTTTGAAAATGGACAGGACTGCACCATTAAGGGATACAGTGAAAATTAAGTAATGAAACATAGATGTTTCTCCTCCATGGCTCTGGGCAAGCGTGCACAGACCTAGGGGTACGGGCCTAGTCCAATAATAATGGCTGAACTGGTGCGCATCTGATGCCCATTTTGAATGTGAGCATGATAGCCACAGTAACAGGATGGACCTTTGTCTTCTATCCCCAGACACTCCATTCCAGTGGGTACAGTTCATCCTCAGGACCAAGTAGGATAAGCAGCACATCCCTCAGGACTTGTTCTCTGAGCTGGATGAAAATTGTAGGAAAGAGGCTGAAGATGCTGAGTGGAAAGAAATGGCAAGTTAAATACCTGCTGCTGCTGTGATGGGGGAGAAGTGCCCACACCAGCAGTACCCTCAGGCTCTACCTTCTGCTCTCTGGAATACTTTCTGCAGCTGCAGGTGCTGATGTGAGCAGCCTTCTCCTCCTGCCACCACAGAAGTTTGGCAATGGACTTGGAGATCTGGAGCTGAGGAGAGGTAAAAGACAGTATCAAGTGCAGGATCAAGCCCTGCGTGGCCACTCTGTCCTTACACAGCCTCTGAGCTGAGGAGATGCACCACCTATGAAAGGATGCTGCTGGACAATTGTGCCAATAGCAACAAAGACACTGAAGGTAATGTGGGAGCCACATCCCTCTGGCTGCATGTTTGCTGCATGACAAACCTCTTGGTATGTCACATGGCCCTTCACTCCCAAATCAACTCTGCCCCAATGATGCATCCCTTTTCAGAAGTCCTGCTATATCTTTAAATTCTGTAGTCATCCCTCTAGCACTGCCA